CTCTTCCGGTTCCCAAATTTGGTCCATTTGATGTTCCTCCCTTGGATTGAGACCGTTTCACTCATGTTTGTCCTCATAGTCATGTGTAGAACTATTAATCCATGTTTGGTAAGTATGGGTCCATCTAGTTCATCTTATACACTACAAGTGAGTTTCCACAATGTGGAGGCACAGAGGTACATTTCGGACTCCTTACCTCTTCCGGTTCCCAAATTTGGTCCATTTGATGTTCCTCCCTTGGATTGAGACCGTTTCACTCATGTTTGTCCTCATAGTCATGTGTAGAAGCTATTAATCCATGTTTGGTAAGTATGGGTCCATCTAGTTCATCTTATACACTACAAGTGAGTTTCCACAATGTGGAGGCACAGAGGTACATTTCGGACTCCTTACCTCTTCCGGTTCCCAAATTTGGTCCATTTGATGTTCCTCCCTTGGATTGAGACCGTTTCACTCATGTTTGTCCTCATAGTCATGTGTAGAAGCTATTAATCCATGTTTGGTAAGTATGGGTCCATCTAGTTCATCTTATACACTACAAGTGAGTTTCCACAATGTGGAGGCACAGAGGTACATTTCGGACTCCTTACCTCTTCCGGTTCCCAAATTTGGTCCATTTGATGTTCCTCCCTTGGATTGAGACCGTTTCACTCATGTTTGTCCTCATAGTCATGTGTAGAAGCTATTAATCCATGTTTGGTAAGTATGGGTCCATCTAGTTCATCTTATACACTACAAGTGAGTTTCCACAATGTGGAGGCACAGAGGTACATTTCGGACTCCTTACCTCTTCCGGTTCCCAAATTTGGTCCATTTGATGTTCCTCCCTTGGATTGAGACCGTTTCACTCATGTTTGTCCTCATAGTCATGTGTAGAACTATTAATCCATGTTTGGTAAGTATGGGTCCATCTAGTTCATCTTATACACTACAAGTGAGTTTCCACAATGTGGAGGCACAGAGGTACATTTCGGACTCCTTACCTCTTCCGGTTCCCAAATTTGGTCCATTTGATGTTCCTCCCTTGGATTGAGACCGTTTCACTCATGTTTGTCCTCATAGTCATGTGTAGAAGCTATTAATCCATGTTTGGTAAGTATGGGTCCATCTAGTTCATCTTATACACTACAAGTGAGTTTCCACAATGTGGAGGCACAGAGGTACATTTCGGACTCCTTACCTCTTCCGGTTCCCAAATTTGGTCCATTTGATGTTCCTCCCTTGGATTGAGACCGTTTCACTCATGTTTGTCCTCATAGTCATGTGTAGAAGCTATTAATCCATGTTTGGTAAGTATGGGTCCATCTAGTTCATCTTATACACTACAAGTGAGTTTCCACAATGTGGAGGCACAGAGGTACATTTCGGACTCCTTACCTCTTCCGGTTCCCAAATTTGGTCCATTTGATGTTCCTCCCTTGGATTGAGACCGTTTCACTCATGTTTGTCCTCATAGTCATGTGTAGAAGCTATTAATCCATGTTTGGTAAGTATGGGTCCATCTAGTTCATCTTATACACTACAAGTGAGTTTCCACAATGTGGAGGCACAGAGGTACATTTCGGACTCCTTACCTCTTCCGGTTCCCAAATTTGGTCCATTTGATGTTCCTCCCTTGGATTGAGACCGTTTCACTCATGTTTGTCCTCATAGTCATGTGTAGAAGCTATTAATCCATGTTTGGTAAGTATGGGTCCATCTAGTTCATTTATACACTACAAGTGAGTTTCCACAATGTGGAGGCACAGAGGTACATTTCGGACTCCTTACCTCTTCCGGTTCCCAAATTTGGTCCATTTGATGTTCCTCCCTTGGATTGAGACCGTTTCACTCATGTTTGTCCTCATAGTCATGTGTAGAAGCTATTAATCCATGTTTGGTAAGTATGGGTCCATCTAGTTCATCTTATACACTACAAGTGAGTTTCCACAATGTGGAGGCACAGAGGTACATTTCGGACTCCTTACCTCTTCCGGTTCCCAAATTTGGTCCATTTGATGTTCCTCCCTTGGATTGAGACCGTTTCACTCATGTTTGTCCTCATAGTCATGTGTAGAAGCTATTAATCCATGTTTGGTAAGTATGGGTCCATCTAGTTCATCTTATACACTACAAGTGAGTTTCCACAATGTGGAGGCACAGAGGTACATTTCGGACTCCTTACCTCTTCCGGTTCCCAAATTTGGTCCATTTGATGTTCCTCCCTTGGATTGAGACCGTTTCACTCATGTTTGTCCTCATAGTCATGTGTAGAAGCTATTAATCCATGTTTTGGTAAGTATGGGTCCATCTAGTTCATCTTATACACTACAAGTGAGTTTCCACAATGTGGAGGCACAGAGGTACATTTCGGACTCCTTACCTCTTCCGGTTCCCAAATTTGGTCCATTTGATGTTCCTCCCTTGGATTGAGACCGTTTCACTCATGTTTGTCCTCATAGTCATGTGTAGAAGCTATTAATCCATGTTTGGGTAAGTATGGGTCCATCTAGTTCATCTTATACACTACAAGTGAGTTTCCACAATGTGGAGGCACAGAGGTACATTTCGGACTCCTTACCTCTTCCGGTTCCCAAATTTGGTCCATTTGATGTTCCTCCCTTGGATTGAGACCGTTTCACTCATGTTTGTCCTCATAGTCATGTGTAGAAGCTATTAATCCATGTTTGGGTAAGTATGGGTCCATCTAGTTCATCTTATACACTACAAGTGAGTTTCCACAATGTGGAGGCACAGAGGTACATTTCGGACTCCTTACCTCTTCCGGTTCCCAAATTTGGTCCATTTGATGTTCCTCCCTTGGATTGAGACCGTTTCACTCATGTTTGTCCTCATAGTCATGTGTAGAAGCTATTAATCCATGTTTGGTAAGTATGGGTCCATCTAGTTCATCTTATACACTACAAGTGAGTTTCCACAATGTGGAGGCACAGAGGTACATTTCGGACTCCTTACCTCTTCCGGTTCCCAAATTTGGTCCATTTGATGTTCCTCCCTTGGATTGAGACCGTTTCACTCATGTTTGTCCTCATAGTCATGTGTAGAAGCTATTAATCCATGTTTGGGTAAGTATGGGTCCATCTAGTTCCATTTATACACTACAAGTGAGTTTCCACAATGTGGAGGCACAGAGGTACATTTCGGACTCCTTACCTCTTCCGGTTCCCAAATTTGGTCCATTTGATGTTCCTCCCTTGGATTGAGACCGTTTCACTCATGTTTGTCCTCATAGTCATGTGTAGAAGCTATTAATCCATGTTTTGGTAAGTATGGGTCCATCTAGTTCCATTTATACACTACAAGTGAGTTTCCACAATGTGGAGGCACAGAGGTACATTTCGGACTCCTTACCTCTTCCGGTTCCCAAATTTGGTCCATTTGATGTTCCTCCCTTGGATTGAGACCGTTTCACTCATGTTTGTCCTCATAGTCATGTGTAGAAGCTATTAATCCATGTTTGGGTAAGTATGGGTCCATCTAGTTCCATTTATACACTACAAGTGAGTTTCACAATGTGGAGGCACAGAGGTACATTTCGGACTCCTTACCTCTTCCGGTTCCCAAATTTGGTCCATTTGATGTTCCTCCCTTGGATTGAGACCGTTTCACTCATGTTTGTCCTCATAGTCATGTGTAGAAGCTATTAATCCATGTTTTGGTAAGTATGGGTCCATCTAGTTCATTTATACACTACAAGTGAGTTTCCACAATGTGGAGGCACAGAGGTACATTTCGGACTCCTTACCTCTTCTGGTTCCCAAATTTGGTCCATTTGATGTTCCTCCCTTGGATTGAGACCGTTTCACTCATGTTTGTCCTCATAGTAATGTGTGGAAGCTATTAATCCATGTTTGGGTAAGTATGGGTCCATCTAGTTCCATTTATACACTACAAGTGAGTTTCCTACAATGTGGAGGCACAGAGGTACATTTCGGACTCCTTACCTCTTCCGGTTCCCAAATTTGGTCCATTTGATGTTCCTCCCTTGGATTGAGACGTTTCACTCATGTTTGTCCTCATATTCATGTGTAGAAGCTATTAATCCATGTTTTGGTAAGTATGGGTCCATCTAGTTCATCTTATACACTACAAGTGAGTTTCCACAATGTTGAGGCACAGAGGTTAGCTAGGTATTGAGAAGCTCAATATCAAGAGATACCTTGATACAAGTCGTTTGAGAGCAAGATCGATTAAGTATAGCCTTCCTCTGATTGTTAAACCCTGTCTTAGACCCTATTGTTAGTTCTAGCTTATTAAAGTCGCTGCCTTTACTGCTTTTCACTTCAACTCGACCCTAAACTCGATCGAGCTCGTTACTCTGTTCCAACTCGACTCGAGTCCTAGGTCGAGCTGTTGCTCTACTACTTTATTTACTTTCTGCATTTCCATTTCTGCATTGCATTTCATTTTGTTAGGTTGTTAGTGTTACCTCAAATCTATTACTGCTTGCTTGACTTTCTTGTGGTTTCATATTCTCAAAGAGTAGCAACTTCTCCCATTTTGGATTGATAACCTCTTCTTGATGCTTAAAGACGCTCTAGTGACCGTCACGACAACCAAAAACTACTCTTATGAATGAAATAGAAGCCGGTTCGACAGGAAGCTTTTGAACTACTACATTGACTATGATGATTAAGAGGAATTGATTGATTGTGACTGCACCATTTCATCTTTATTCACCCCTGTTTGCATTCCACCACATATCTTATCATTTTTCATTCATATCACTTCATCCACGCAAAATCCTATCATCAATTTGGCGCCGTTGCCGATTTGGGATTATTTTGTTGCATTTGAGTTTCAAACACACTTGAACGATCAAGCTATACCACCCTTGTTCTATTGTACTGCTGGGTTTTTGTCTCTTTTTGCAGGTGTATGCGAACTCGATCGAGTCAGTCTACAGAGGACTTGGTCGAGCTAGACTTTACAACGGGTAGAAAGAGGTTCAGAGGTCACAGAGGGTACAAGAGGAACCTGAGGTGCTTGTTGCTGATACAATGGACGTACCAGAGGGGAATGGAAACCCTTTGGGCAATGGACTCGGTCGAGCTAGGCAAACTCGACCGATTGGTCAAGGAGATGCTCCAAACCGCCACCAACAGAGACAAGGGATTGTTCCACCACCAGTGCAGAACCACAACTTTGAGATCAAGCTGGGAATGATCAACCTTGTTCAGAACAAGATGTTCCATGGATTGCCAAGTGAAGACCCCATTGACCACCTTGATGAGTTTGATAGGCTATGTGATTTGACAAAGATCAATGATGCCTCTGAAGATGCAATCAAGCTGAGGCTCTTCCCTATGTCTCTAGCTGACAAAGCTCACCAATGGGAGAAGAGTTTGCCCCATGGCACAATCACCACTTGGGATGAATGCAAGAAGGCCTTTCTTGCTAAATTTTTCTCCACCGGTCGCACCGCCAAGCTAAGGAATGAGATCTCGAGTTTCATACAGAGAAACAATGAGACTTTTGGAGAAGCTTGGGAGCGTTTGAAGGGATACACCAGCCAATGTCCTCACCATGGATTCAGCAATGAGTCAATATTATCCATACTCTACAGAGGATGTTTGGCAAGGCAAAGGGAGATGTTAGACACAGCCAAGCAATGGGAACTTCCTCACTCAGGATGTGGAAGATGGCTGGAACTAGTCGAGAACATCGCCCTCTCAACAGAAAGATATGGAGACAATTATGATAGCACTGACTGGAGCTCGACCGCTAACTCGATCGAGTGCGAGGCCCAAATGCGAAAAGACTTGCAGGCTCTCCATTCGAAGATTGACAAGCTGATTGTAGCTCAATTCCCTCCCAAACAAGTCAGCTCTATCTCGGATACAACACAGGCTATCAAACAGGAAGGGGAGGAGCAACAACATACAAGCACCCCTCCAACCACAAGGAAAACCATCTATGGTCACACATTTTACCAGGCACCTGCGGCTTACAGACTCAATCCACACAGATCCAACCAGCAAGGGCACCTCCGAAGTTTCCCACCAGGATTCCCACCAATGCCATACCCAACTACACAGAGCCAAGATTGGGATATGAAAGATATGCTCCAACAACTCCTTCAAGGGCAAGCCAAAGGTTCACTAGACATGAACCACAAGTTGCTGGAAATAAACTCCAAACTGGAGTCATTGACTTCAAGAGTGCAAACCATTGAGTCTTCTAGTGCGTCATCCTCTTCATCTCAAGAGTATGCTCAAGCTGTTACACTGAGAGTGGGCGACAGTTTCCAAGTCGAACTAGCCCACCCCAAATCGCTGTGGACATCGATGACGAGGAAGGGGAGGATTTGGTCGAGTATTATGACATCCCGGCACCGAACTCGATCGAGCTGGAACAAAACCCTGAACCAGAACTCGATCGAGCTGGAGAAACCGAGACTCAGAAGGACAAAGCAGAGCTCGATCGAGCTGAGAAGAGAACAGACAAAGCAAGCTCCAGCCAACCAGCTAAACCTGTTGCAAAGAAGAAAGACACTCCAGCAGGACCACCACCATACAAACCCCCTCTGCCTTTCCAGGAAGGTTCAAGAAACAACTGTTGGAAGCACACAAGGCCAAGTTTGATGAACTAATGAGACAGCTTGAGCTGAAGTTGCCTTTCATCGACGCCTTGATGCTCATTCCACCTTATCAGAAATTTCTGAAGGATGCTGTTCAGCAAAGAACCAGGGAAGCACAAGGGATGGTAGTGTTGACTCGTGAGTGCAGTGCAATCATTCAGCGGAAGGTTATCTCCGACAAAAAGGAAGATCCGGGGAGTTTCACTTTACCCTGCATGTTGGGACCCCTATCTTTCAAAAACAGCCTCTGCGATCTAGGATCATCTGTCAGCCTCATGCCTTTGTCTGTAGCAAAGAGACTGGGATATCACAAGTATCAAGCCTGCGGAATCTCTAGTCTTGGCAGATAGATCGATAAGGTTACCAACTGGAATGCTTGAAGACCTGCCTTTGAGGATAGGGAATGTAGAAATCCCCACCGACTTCATTGTGCTGGAAATGGATGAGGAACCAACAGATCCATTGATACTAGGAAGGCCATTCCTAGCTACAGCAAGAGCAATGATAGATGTCTGTGAAGGAACAATTGAGCTGAACTTGGGAAAGGACCTAGGATGAAGTTTGATATCAAGGATACAATGAGGAAACCAACTATAGAAGGTCAGCTCTTTTATGTTGAGGAAATGGATCAGTTGGCAGATGAGCTTTTAGAAGAGTTATCAACGGAGGACCCCTACAAGTTGCTTTGACCAAGGATTCTTCAGAAGGATATGTGAGCTCAGAAACTGATGAGTACAAGAAGCTCCTTGACACCTTCAGACCAGTTCCAAACATTCTGAGCATTGAGGGAGTTGGACAGGCCAGTTTGCAAGGTCATGGCAGTGAGCTCGATCAAGGCTCGATCGAGTCGGGTCTCGAACAAACAAACTCGATCGAGCTGGGGACTGAATGCAAGGAACAAGCTCAAGGAGATTGGTCTGAGCTCAAGGCGCCTAAAGTCGACCTCAAACCTTTGCCTGAGGGCCTCAGGTATGCATTCCTGGGTGAAAACTCAACTTACCCTGTCATTGTGAACTCTGATTTGGAACCTGAACAGTTGAGTGCTTTGCTTGTTGAATTGAGGAAGTACAGAAAAGCAATAGGCTATATTCTAGATGATATCAAGGGAATCTCCCCTGACCTATGCATCCATAGGATTCATCTAGAGGATGAAAGTAAGTCAAGCATTGAACCTCATAGGAGGTTGAACCCCAATCTAAAGGAAGTAGTGAAGAAAGAGATACTCAAGTTGCTTGATGCTGGGATAATCTATCCCATCAGTGATAGCACTTGGATATCTCCAGTTCATTGCGTCCCAAAGAAAGGGGGGATCACTGTCATAAAAAATGACAAGAGGAGCTGATTCCCACTAGAACAATAGTGGGGCATCGCATGTGTATTGACTATAGGAAGTTAAATTCAGCATCTAGAAAGGATCATTTCCCTCTCCCTTTCATTGATCAGATGTTAGAAAGATTGGCAAACCACCCTTTTTATTGTTTTCTTGATGGCTACAGTGGTTTCTTCCAAATCCCGATCCACCCTAATGATCAGGAGAAGACCACTTTCACATGCCCTTATGGTACCTTTGCTTATCGAAGGATGCCATTTGGGCTGTGCAATGCCCCAGCTACTTTCCAGAGATGCATGACCTCTATTTTTTCAGATCTGATAGAGGAGATGGTAGAAGTCTTCATGGACGATTTCTCAGTCTATGGAGCATCCTTCTCCTCATGTTTGTCTAACTTGTGCAGGGTGTTGCAGAGGTGTGAAGAGACAAACCTAGTACTCAACTGGGAGAAGTGCCATTTCATGGTTCGAGAAGGGATTGTGCTCGGGCACAAAATTTCTGAGAAAGGGATCGAGTTCGATCGAGCTAAGGTGGATGTCATGTTGCAGTTTCCTGTTCCCAAGACTGTAAAGGACATCATGAGCTTTCTGGGTCATGCAGGGTTCTACAGAAGATTCATCAAGGATTTCTCAAGGATAGCAAGACCCTTGACAAGACTTCTGTGCAAAGA